AATGGAGCTGGATCTGCCCCACTTTCCTCCTCCAACAGCTAGCAATAACTTCCTATATATACCAGTGAGGAAAACAGCCACAAAACACACCTTGCTGTTACATACCTGTGGGAACTGGCGTAACTGCAAGCTATCCACAGCTTGGCAGTCACGAAACAAACTGCCCAAAGCACTCGCTGCACTGTTACCATCTGCAGAGCTCAGTGGCAGTGGGTTACAGGAGAAGAAAATGTTTAACTATGGAGAAGATGTTGCACAGACTATGACTGCTAGCCTTTTTGGAAAGGAAATCTCGATGAATCTGCCTTCCCCTTGATGGCCTATCTCTGGAGACTCCCTCAGGATGGAGGGTGGTGTGTTTTGACTGAATCCCTGTTACTCACCAAAACTCCTGCAGAAACAAGGAGCAGATCACAGAAGCCTTCAATGAAAATACCTCAGTTGTTCCTGTGCGTTTGCAGTGGTCAGCATAGAGGTGGGAAAAAGCTTCAAAGCCACGCTGAGGTCTGAGAGCTCTGTCTGTGGCTGTCGCAGCAGCAAGCCAAAGGGCAGCACAGTGCTGGGCATTTTGCATTGGCACTGGAGAGAGGAAGCTTCGTCCCTGCAGGGCTGGGAGTATACCTGGGAAGTAATCAGCCCAGAGAGCTATAGTGGGCCAGGAATTTGGTGGTCAGTGCATCATGGTGGCATGGGGCTGGGTGGCCTTCATCACTTTAGCTGTGCCCTGTCTCTCTCAGTGTGGCTCAGTAGAAATTGTGAAATAGCAGGTGCAGATTATCTCTGTGTCCAGTATGGAGGAGTTCCACTGCAAACAGTTATTTCTAAGTGCAGAAACTGTAAATGTTTAATTGAGGCTACAAGCCTGCCTGGGCCACAGCAGGCTTTTTCATTATTATTATTTTAATAATTTTGTTTCGCTGCCTCTTGAGAAGGTGGCCTGCAGTTTTATATAATAACCTCACTAATAACCCACTTTCCTAATGTCAATACGAATAACATAGTAATAAGAGTCCCTTTTCTCACAGAGCAATTTTTGCTTGCAGAGAAGGCGGGAAGCAGCTTTTACCCAGCAGCTACTGCATTTTAGCTGATATCTCATTATCTGACATAAGGAGATCCATGTGCTTCACTTCATCTTAAACTGTTGATTTCCAGATAGAGGCATATCTTGCTGCCAGAGATCAAGAGGGGAAAGGTAATTACAGCTGTGCTTGAGCTCAGCTGGCAAAGGACAGAAGGGTGATGCTGGGTGTGCAGATGAAGAGTTATGGAGGGGGTCAGATTTTGTTCTCTCTGTCAACACTCCTGCAATGCACACCGGCCCTGCAGCTAAAAGCAAAACCAAACCCTTTAGGTCAGCCCTTTTCTCATCTCCAGATCAGTAGGATCTGTTCTTTCAACATGAAGCATTTTCAGTGTTTTATTCCAGTACCAAAGTTTATTCAAAGTGCTGCTATTTTAATGTCCTATTATTTTAGATTCAGTTCACACATTTGGATAAGTGTATTTGACCATTTGACCATTTGGAGATCAAGAACAGAGAATCAAAATTGGTTCCTCCCTTGCTTTTTACTTCTGAGTCCAAAATTTCTGCCTGTATATGATGATTTTGTGGGCCAGCTATTCCTTGCTGAAGTCAAGGAGAATGATGGGCAGCAAAGATTTAGAATGATGGGCAGCAGAGATTTCTGCAGATGTGATTCTGTTCAAAAGATTGGAAATAAAAGAGCAAAGTCTAAACTCTATATTAATTTGGACCAAAAAATGTGCGTAGCATCAAACCACCAGAGTAGTGATGGGTAGGATCCAGGTGGACTCTATTAGGAAACAAGGAAAGGAATCTTTCTTTTTTCTAATAGCTGCCAAGAAACATGCTTGTTTCAGCTTTTGCATGAAATGATAGATGGGGGCTTTGAAGCCCAAACGTCTTTGGTTTTGTTCATCCTCCCTTTGGGACCTGGGTGCTGTGGATGTTCATTACTCACGTTGGAAACATTTGCCACAGGAAGCTCCTGGAACAGAGTTTGGAAAGCCATGAAAGCCCTAACGGCAGCTGAAAACATGAATGCTGCACCAGCACTTGCTGAATCAAATTATTAAGTGCCAAGATACATTAACATTTGTCTCTGAGTCATTCCCACTTTTACAGAGTCTAGGGTTTTCAAACTCCCTTCCTACCAAGCAATTCCTCTCTACTTGAAAAAGAAACCCCATTTTTGTGGAAGTGGATTCCAAAATCTGGAACTGTGTTTTCAGAAGTCTTGCTTCACTCTCCAGTAAATTCCTTTCCATCTCTCCTTGCCCAATGAAATAACTGGAATATTTGCATTTTTTTGTAATGAGGATTTTCAGTAGTAATAAAGCATAGGCTAACAAGCCTGTTCTGCAAGGCTATTTAGTTAATTAGTATTTATACACTGAAGCAAGGATAAAGAGCTGATCTATGAAGTGCTACTCAATGATCCTGAGCACCTGGCTGGAGAATCCAAGATTTCACTGAAATTGAATTAAGATTCCTGCCATTACAGCTTCAAAATAAGGGAGATATATGCAACAAAAGCATGAAGCAAGGAGACACAAGGAGCTCTGTCTGGCAAGCCTGTGGCCCGAGATAACCAGGATCCCACCCTGTTCCTGGGGCTGTTGCTGAGACAACTTGGATGCTGCAGGCAGCGGGTCGTGTTTATCCTCAGGGGGAAACACTGAGCCCACAGCAGCTGAGGTCTCTGTTCCTATGCCACGCTTGGCCAGTGGACAAGGAGAAAAAGGGAAGACCTGCCTTTGGCTGTCTTTGCTCCCAGTAGCCCCAAGCACTGCATCTGTGCTTGCTCAGCCTGGACCCTATGTGCCTGTGGGGCCTGCCACAGCCCCACACTCCCCTCTGTGGACTATTAAATAGGGAATTATCATGGCAAGTGGCTGGGTACAGGCCAATGCTGACAACCTTTGCGTTGTGTCACCAGCAGATATACCCTGACTGAGCATTGTTCACCCCTCTCCCCTGCACTTCCAGGCAGTGCCTCCTCCCCTGATGTGACTTGTCCCCCACAGAAAGGATCTGAACATAACCCAGAGTACTTTCTCACCATCGTTCAAGTGTTTTCTCACCATCATCATTCAGCAACCATCAATCGCACATACCTTCCAGCACCTACAAGGGTCTGAATGAACAGCCTTCCCATCACCGACCTCTCTTCTGGGCTCGTCTTCCATTTAGACAGGAGAGCCACAGCCCCTTTCAAAATCCTTGCTACTTAAGCCTTATTCTCCTTACTTGGGGTCAAAACCATGGTTTCTGATGATTTCACCTAGGATTAAGATTAGGCTTAGTTTCTTCAGATGCTCTGTACGTCATCCCCATCTCAGTAATATGCCAGGGAGTGAAGACACATGATGGCTGCCTCTTGCAGCTGTAATGAAGCTGGGGCATTTTAGCAGATGTAACTCATTTCGCTTGTTTGGCATTGCCTGTGTTGTTACACTTTGCTGCCGTAGCATGCTGGTGTGCTTAACGCTTTTCACATTATTGAATAATTTAGCACCTCATTTCACTGGTGGGTCTTGGCCTTCCAGTTGGTCACATCCTGGTTTGTTCCCAGGATGTCTTCTGGAGTGCACTATTTCCCCCCCCGCTCAAAATTAAGCCTGGGTGATATTTGTGGATCATTATCTTCAGAGACTACCTTCTGGATGGGTTAAACCTTCAACACCATCCCAACAGGCCCCCAGTGCTCCCAGTACCCTCATGTTCCATCCTTGGTCGTGCAACCTCAGTCTTGTGCTCTAAAAATATCCACTATAGCACCCTGTACCACAACCCTCATATTTCATCAGGCAACTGAACAAGAAGAAAAAAATTAAAAAAAGAAAAAAAGTGTGATAATTCAGGGCCACAGAGCGCCAGAGAGGAGTCCCAGCCAAAGGCTATGCAGGGCAGTCAGCCTTGAACAGCTTGAGTATGAGCCAGTCCATCGCATTGCGGGGCCAGCGATCGTTCCCTGGGACTGATGCCTTCATTAATGTTCCTGTAGCCATGTACTAGTGAAGTGTTTCTCACAGGCCAAGGGGCCTCTTGCTCTTGGGAAGGCTGGGTGTGCATGTGGATGTGTACGCATTTGCAGAACTGCTTTCTGCAGTTGTGGCTTTCTACAGGATACTAGTGGGTGGTTCAAAAAATATAATAAGGATATTATTATATATATATGATTTGATTTTTTTCATCTGAAATAAGCCCCTGGTAAATTTATATTTACTTGGCAGCAAAGATATAAAACTTGGTTTGGCAGTTGCATTTAAGAAAACACTAAGAACTCAAGGGAAAAAATATCTCCTGGCTGAGTAGCGTGAACTAATGCTGAGAAATGGGGCTCTATGAATCTGAATTCAAACCAGTTTTTCAGAGCTACTTACCCAGTCTCCTTCTACTGTTGGCCAACTGACAAAAATTCAATATTTTTCTTTTAGTGAATGAAAAGCATAGTCAGAAACAGCCATTGGGTCAGGATCATATGCAAAAGCTCCTCTTGTGCTTTTGTTTCCTAATTGCTCTTGGAAGGATTTTTCGGACTGGGCTGACGCAGTTGTGTGTGTGAATTTCCTGGCAAATAAGGAAGGGGACTGTGTCCAAAAGACATTTAGGAGTGTGAATTCACAGCCTTTCCATGTCTAATCAAGGAGAGTAAACCATTAGCCACATGTTCTCCATTTCCATCACATTTTTTCACACTTAAACAAAAACATGCCAAAGAAAAGGTGCTACATTTTTTAATGCCCCCAAATAGGAACCACGGGAGTCCGTTAAATGCTGTGGTCATTTCCAGCATACAAATCAATTTTCCTCATGGTGGTGAGGTGGTGAATAATGCCTGGTTTGTTTAAAGGAGCATGACTGATTTTGGATGAAGGATCCTGTCACTTTGGCATTTTTAGTTTTATTTATTGCACGCAACCGTATAAATCCTGGTACTGGTCTCAGTGCCAGGCTTACTAGTGGAAAAGCTGAAAGGACCACATAACTCCTGGTGCAGCAAAGAGGTTCTTCTTCTGCAAGGCATTTGCTGGACTCCTGAAAAATTATTTTTAATAACATGGCAGAGAAGGATTTCATCAATTGGCATCTACTGGCTTTATTTTTTCTTCCATTTTGCCTGTGTCAAGATGAATACATGGAGGTGAGCAGAAGATCTTATAAACCAGTGGCCAAAGTATTGCAAAGTCACCACCAGACTGGCCATAAAGGTTCCAGAAGCAGGGAAATATTGAAACAGCGGAGCCAACTTATAGAGTGGACTGTTGATAATAGCACTTCTACAGACCAAAAAGTCCTGAGACCAGAGGTAGATGATGTAGAACTGACTACCTCAGATAGAGTCCAGGTACTCTGAATTAATCTTCTAAAGATATCTTTAAAGCTAATGAGATTTTTTTTTTTTTTTTGCTAAGATTATTAGTGATATATTTATGAAATTACTTTTATTAAAGCAGTGTATTGGTCTGTATCCTGCTGGGTTGCTTTACAGGATCTTTTAATGAGCTGGTAGAACCAGCAGTGGTTGGGGACACTGGTTTTCACATAGACAGCAGCACTTTGTTTTGCTGAAACTGTGATTCTGTGCAATCATGTATTCTGATATACAGCCTCTTAATTACTTCAAGGGATTACTTGTTCAATATATTAAAGTATTAGATTATGTTAACTCATTTGGATGTGAAGAAAAATTATGGAATTTATAGAGGTATATGGAAAAATACAATTAGCAGAGCATAACTTTGCTTGAAAATTATGTATATAAAGTATATTTTTTGAGCTTGAGACAAACAATGAAATTCTGAGTGTTCAAAATTTTTGTTCTAAGGAATAGCTTGGAAAAAACAGATACTAATGTAATGAGTAGATTTAATAATATATATCAAGTTGACAGTTTCAGAGGAAAAAAGACTCTGAATGAAACTAAATCATCTGTAATATCTACATTTTAAACTGGGAATCTTTTTATGCCTCCTACATGGTATTTTAGACATTGTAGTCATTAGCTCGCAGCAAAAGGAAAATGGCATAATTTGATTATACATAAGATATTGCAGTCCAAATGTAAAAGTAAAAATGTGAAGGGCAGAAAATGAAACTCTTCCTAGCACTAGGCAAAACAAAATTCCACTCAATTTTTTTGTTGATTGATATTCTTTAGAAACAAGGACATGAGTGTTTTGTTCCTATGGCTGATGATAGAAATGTTAGAGTCCTGTATAGTTCACCTGTTATCATTTGGGTTTTTTAAAACTCTTTCAGGTCAAACTATGATATTTTGAATTCAAAAAATCATGGACATGCAGACAAGTATTGAATGACAACCTACTTCATGATAAGCACAGGAGAGATTTGATTTTAATCCTGTCCTAGGCTTGAAGAACTGAAACACATCCCAGTATGGGAATAGGTTTAATACACCATTATATTCCCTGTATTTAAATTTTACAGTGTTTTGCATTTCATATTTCTTGGGCAGGACTTATATGTTCCTCCAATACACTCAGCAAAATAGATATTTAACTGTACGTATGTTAAATTGCACTTGAAGTATACAGACAGTGTAAACCGTCAGGTATATAGTCCAGTGAGCCAGCTAGTGTGTGTGTACCTCTTTACTGCAGAGAACTGTGCAGCTGCATGCTACAGACCATGTATTACTGGTACTTAAAGAAGATTCCCCTTTAACTCAACATAATTTCAGAAAATGCAGGTTTTAATACAAAAATACCACTTTTTTAGTGGCCAAACTCTCCCTCACAGAAAGTGTCACTGTGTTTGGGCTGCATGTGTCTCACATGTTTAATGCAACATGTTTGGAGTTGCCTGCTGGGGTAAAAGGCTGTGACATTAAAACTGAGCTCAGCAAGTCTGAGTAGAGCTGATGGCAGTCATTTACCTACCAGACCGTCTTTAACAAGCAATCTTTGCTGGGGAAATGATGCAATTTTTGGCTTACTGAAATTAAATGGAGCACTAGCAGATGCATGACAGGGATAATCCATCACAGAGTGGCTGACGCAATAGGTATTTTCCGCCTCCAGACTCCAGGGATTTCCAGGCAGAGGAAGAACAAAGGTGGCATGGATATGTTTTAATTCACGTCAAAACTTTTTCTTCCCCTTGAGCCATCTGAAAGCTGTTTCATGCCTAAGTCCCTACTTTCTTGGTTACCTTAGCTCTGCCTGGAGAATTTCACCCTCTTGCTAAAGGGTTTCAACGGTCCCATTCCCTGTTGTGGAGTAGAAACAACAGCATTTTTCTTTGCTGCATGGTGTACAAGGCCTATTTCCACACTGCTGGTAACGTAGGTAAAATACAATGTGCATTTTCCAAGCACAAGAGCTCTTAGTGACTGGGGACAGCCATGCTAGACACATTGTCTTCAGATTGCTCTTTGAAAACCTTCAGGTACCTCTCAACCTACTGATGTTTTACCATGAATTTTGGCAATTTTGGTTTGTTTAATTCTTTGCTAGAGAACAGGCATGGAGGGCCATACTGCCCACAAAGACATACTATTTTGCATTCAGAAAAGGAGCCACAAACGGTAGACGTACATTACTCATCTTCTGCATTGTTTTAGATAATATAACAGAAACCTGTAAAATTAATCAGGAAGTGAAAAAGGGCTGGGTCTCCAATTGTGATTCTTTCACAGCTTTAAGTTAAGGGAATTTTATAGACCATCTGTTGCCTAGAACTGCTTCCTACATATTAATCATAGGAAATTCAGCAAATAGCCTCAGAAATATTTCCAGTTTTCTATCTGTATTAGGATATCAATGTGGCAGATGCATTTCACAAGCTCCTAAATCATATTCATGTTCTAAAGCAATGCCAAATATTTATTGCACAATAAAACTATGTGCAAATGGCTGCATAGGACACCTTTGGCATGTAGGTTGTAATTAATCTTTGTACCATTAGAGTGTAATTTTACTTTAGGAACAGGTTTTCCCTTTAAATGTACTTTTCAAGAAGTTCTCTGTTTTTAGAGATTAAAAGAGTATCCTGAATATTCATTTTTCTTGGCAGCTGACTGTGAACATTTTTTTCCTCCTAGTCAAAGGATCAGTAAAGATAATAAGTCAATACTGTTTTATGACTTGCATAAGTAGTTATTTTGAAGTCAGTAGAACTGTTCTCATACAACCAGACTGGCAGGACTTGCCTCATTTCACATGTAATAACCTGCTGAAGTTTTCAAGAGTTAAGGCCAAATAGCATTTGGTTTTGACCAGCACTAGTATTTATTTCATGCTAACATAGCTGGTTAGCTAATAATGTTGTTCAGGATTTCAGTGCATTGGGTAAAAAAAAAATTTGTACCTGCACAGAGAGAGTCTCACATGCAGTCCAGTTTGCTGGATTCAAACCTTCCCTTACCTGCAGTCCACGGCTCTAAGTCTTTGGATATTTCTAGGCTGATACGACTTATTTGCTCTTGGCAGGTGTGTATGCAGTTTGCCTCCTCATTTAAGGTGAATATGAAGCACTATCAAAAAAGAGATGGAGATTTTAATTTCAGTGCAACACTCAATGTTAGCATTTCAGATGGTGCAAAATGCTTGTGCAAATCCAGTTCTCTTGTACGTGGCTCCCCTTCAAGGACTGAAAATGAGCTGAAAGCAGGGCTACTTCTTCTCTCATACTAGGAAAGCTTTAAACAGTGTGTCTGGTGGTTGTCAGTTATGTTCTTCCAAACAACTGGGAGGGGTAAAACACCAAGAAAGATACAAACAGGTTCTCCAGGAACAGACAGTCCAATAAGCACAACTAATTTTTCTTATAAAGTATAGATCTTATCCAGAATTAAGGTAAAAATTGAGTATTGACCAAAATCCCATAAATATGAAGCCCTTCTGTCCACTGGCAAGTCTTAATATTTCCATAACTCTTTGAATATGAAGAATATTTGTTGAGCTGTCAGGTCAGCATTTATTCCCATGGTAGCTCCACTGTTGGTGGTTCCAGCTGGAGAGGGCATGTGGATGTCCCATTGGAGGAGTTGCAGTATTTTGGTGGCATGAAAGGGGGTTTTCTATATCCACAAACAGGAACTCCCAAGCCTCTTGAAATTAATGAATTCTGGAGGTGTGCTTGGTATCATTCAAAACACAGGCAGAAAGCTTTAGTGTTTCAGATAAAGCCAGCTGATGACCAAGGGCAGGAACACAGCACATCTATATGTTTATTTGGCAGCACCCATCCCACCAGAGGCTCGTTTGCTGCCACTAAACCAATAGGTCTGCATTAGGCAAGTAATTTGAGGACGACAAAGATGAGTGGAAACAAAGGGAAAGAAGACAAATAGTAGAATGATTAGAGAAAAGTAGCAGTCGGATTGGTGTAACTATTCCCCTCCAGCATTAAAGAACTGCAAA